TGGCGCCCGCTGTGCCCCGCAGCGCCGGCGGCCTGCGCAAGTTCTACCAGCTCTCGTACATGTGGTACAGCGCCCACAACTCCACCACCGTCATCCTCGTGGGGCTCCTCGTCAGCCTCGTCACCGGTGCGGGCGGCGCGCTGCGGCGGGGGCGCAGCCGCGCGTGCACGTGTGCGGGGGTGCAATGGGGATTGTGCAGCGGGGGGGTGCATATCCCGGGGGGTGCACAGCTGGGGTACACATCTGGGGCTGTGCATCTGCAGGGATGCAATGGGGGCTGTGCATCGGAGGGATGCACAGGTAGGGGTGCACAGCTGGGGATGCACATCTGGGGGTGCATCTGTGCAGGATTCCAATGGGGGCTGTGCATCGGAGGGATGCACATCTGGGGGTGCACATGGGTAAGGTTGCAGTGGGGACTGTGCATAGCGGAGGGGGTGCATGTCCTTGGGGGGGATGCACATGTAGGGGTGCACATGGGTAAGGTTGCAGTGGGGACTGTGCATAGGGGAGGGGGTGCATGTCTTTGGGGGGGGTGCACATGTAGGGGTGCACATGGGTAAGGTTGCAGTGGGGACTGTGCATAGCGGAGGGGGTGCATGTCCTTGGGGGGGTGCACATCTGGGGTGCACATGGGTAAGGTTGCAGTGGGGACTGTGCATAGCGGAGGAGATGCACATCCTTGGGGGGGTGCACATCTGGGGTGCACTGCACTCTGCATCCCGCGGGACGTACAGCGGGAGGGGCTGCACTGGAGGGACATGCAGCTGGGGTGTTGCGCTGAGGGCTGCACATCTGGGGGGAGCTACTGGGGGCTGCACATCTGGGGGGCTGCACATCTTGGGGGGCTGCCTCAGGGGCGTTGCATGGGGGGCTGCAGCGGGGGCTGCGCTGGCAGCTCTGTGTGGCGGGGATACGTGCGGGGGGCGGGGGGCCGCGCGGTCACCGTGGGGGCTGCCCCCCGGGGGGCTGCGTGCCTGGGGGCTCCCCCCGCTCTGCCCCCCGCGTCCCCGTCCCCAGGCCCCACGCCGGGACACGCCGTGGACCCCCGCACCATCTACCCGGTGCTGCCGCGGCTGCTCTGCTGCCTGCCCGAGAAGTGGCGCGAGCGGCTGCGCTGCGGCGTGCGCCGCGCCGAGGAGGTGAGCGGGACCCCGGCGCGGCTCCGGCGGGGCCGCCGCGCCCGGCCTGCCCCTGTCCCGGCGTCCCCCTGTCCTCATGTCCCAGTGTCCCCCTGTCCCCACGTCCCCACGTCCTGGTGTCCCCCTGTCCCGGCGTCCCCCTGTCCCCGCGTCCCCCTGTCCTCATGTCCCGGCGTCCCCCTGTCCCGGCGTCCCCCTGTCCCGGTGTCCCCCTGTCCCAGTGTCCCGGTGTCCCCACATCCCGATGTCCCCACGTCCCGGTGTCCGCACGTCCCTGCATCCCGGTGTCCCTGTCTCCGGCATCCCAGTGTCCCTGTCTCCCCGTGTCCCTGCATCCCATGTCCCCCTGTCCCGGTGTCCCCATGTCCCCCTGTCCTGGTGTCCCCACATCCCATTGTCTCGGTGTCCCTGCGTCCCCCTGTCCCCACATCCCTGCATCCCCTTCTCCTGATGTCCTGGTGTCCCCCTATTCCC